GAAAGCCCAGCAAGAAAAAATGTGCGAATGGTGCAACCAAGTCCCAGTGGTTGGCTTCAACTCGGGAGCGTATGACTTAAACCTGATAAAAAGCCATTTTGCGGGTGCCGTGTCTTCAGAAAACCAAAAAGTGCGGGTGGCGAAGAAGGGGAACAAAACAATGTTCCTGCTGACCAGCCGGGCACGCTTCCTGGACATCATGAATTATCTGGGGCCGGGCACGAGCTACGAAAAATGGGTCAAAGCGTACGGAAGCGAGGCCACGAAATCCTGCTTCCCGTACGAATGGTTGGACGGGCCGGAAAAGCTTGACTACCCAGGTCTCCTGAAATACGAGGCGTGGTATTCGAAGCTGAAAGGGGGGTACGTTCTGACGAGGGAGGAGTGGGAAGTGTCAGCAGGTGTTCAAAGAAAAGGGGATGCGGACCTTCGCAGACTGGCTGCGTTATTACAACAACCTGGATGTGGGCCCAGGGCTTGAAGCTCTGGAAAAGATGAAAAGCTTCTACACAGAGCGCGGAATAGACATCCTGAAAGACGCGGTGAGCCTGCCGGGGGTGAGTTTGCATTATGTGCTGCGGGGGGCAATAGAGCGCGGGGAAGACCTGTGGAGCCCAGACAGAGAAGGCTACGGAATGCTGAAACGGGCGGTTGTTGGCGGGCCGAGCCTGGTTTTCACGCGGTACCACGAAGCGGGCGTGACGCGGATAAGGGGGCAAAGTCTGTGCAAAAAGATCGTGGGTTACGACGCGAACGCGCTCTATCTGTCCACAATGCTGAGAGAAATGCCATGCAGAAGGGGGCGGGTGAAGAATTACATCGAGGCCCGCCTAGCAGAAGCGGCAGAAGTTTTGGTGGAACAGCTGAAACGCGGAGAATGGTTCGGGTTCGCAGAAGTGGACATAGAGATCCCAAAACCCCTGAGGCCAAAGTTCGCCGAGATGTGCCCTTTCTTTGAAAACCGGACGATCCCGGCGGAAGCGGTGCCGGAGCACATGCAGGAAATTTTTGGTCAAAACGGGCAGAAAGTGTGGAGACGGAAAAAAGCTTGTGGGTGCGTTGTCAGCCGAACGGATTCTGGTGTACGCGCCTCTGCTGCGGTGGTACGTAGATCACGGGGCAGTTGTGACAAGGGTGTACAGAACAATCGACTACAACCCAGGCAAACCGTTCACGTGGTTCGTGGAGCAGGTGACTGAGGCGAGGCGGACAGGCGACATAGACAAAAGCAAGGCGCTGCTGCCAGAAGTGTTTAAACTGCTGGGAAACAGCGCCTACGGGAAGTTCATCGAAGCACTGGAGAGGCAAACGAACGTGATATACACGAAAGATGAGAAGATCGTCGACAGAGCGCTGCGGAGCGCATATTTCGATGACCTCGAAGAGACTGGGGAGGCCTACGAGCTGGAAAGTCACAAGCCTCGGGTCACAATCAGGCGGCCGTTCCAGATAGGAATCGCGGTCTACCAGCTGCCGAAGCTGCGGATCCTAGAATTTTACTACGACTTTGTGGACAAGTACGTGGACAGAAGAGATTTCGAGCTCATCCAGATGGACACAGACAGCAGCTACATGGCGATCTCGAAAGACAGACTCGAGGACGTCGTGAGGCCTGAGCTGAAAGCCGAATTTGAAGCAGAAAAAAGGGAATGGCTCGCTTGGGACAAGTGGAGCGGCCGGATGCCAGGCCTCTTCAAACAAGAGTTCGAGGGCAGCCGGATGATCGCACTCTGCTCGAAGTGTTATTTCGCCGACGAAGGGGAGGTGGGCGAAAAACAGAAGTTCAGCACGAAGGGGATGTCGAAAACGCAGAATGAACTGACCTGGCAGTGGTTCAGGAAAGCGCTAGAAGGGAGCAGGGACATGGCCACAAACAGAGGTTTCAGGATGCGGGATGGACAGATGGTCACATACGAGCAGGCCAAGCTGGGGCTGAGCGCGTATTATGACAAGCGGTGGGTGCTGCCAGACGGGGTACACACAGCAGCACTCGAATATCACATTTAGTTGGCGTCAGCGGGAGGCAGGGAAGTGTTCGGAGGAACAAGGAGCAGCTCTTCGCGGACGAACCCAAGCTGGGGGCCATCGCGCAGAAAGTAAAGAACGGGCTGCTCGGGTTTGATGAAAGCGCGGGCAATCTTGAAAACTTTCAAAGACCAGATTGGGTCTGTGGCTTGTCGCACGCCCCCTTCAAGCTCGCCGGGCTGGTAGAGATAACGAACTTGCACAAGAGAGGGGAGGATTTTTTCGCTTTTTCCGACAGGCCTCGTGTAAGGTGTCGACGGCCTTGCGTAAACAGATTTCTCTTTGATGGCGACGGCGGGTTTCTTGCCGATAAGGCTTCTGACCTCGTTGTTCACAGCCGAAACAACTTCAGGAAGTCTTTTCACCCAGGCAGTGGACCGCTTGCCCTCAGGGTCAAGCATCTCTTCGGCGTACTGGTGCCCGAACAAGCGCTCAGCCAGAGTGCGGTTGAAACGTTCGACAATGGCCTGGTCGC